TATCCCATAGGAGAAGCAGGATAGGGTGGTTTTAGGTGGTTTTGGTGTTGTTTTGAGGTGTTTTGGTGTGGTTTGGGGCTCTGACCCCGTATCCCATAGGAAAAGCAGGACAAGGTCTTTTGGGGAGTTTGACGATATTTTTGGGTGTTTTTTTGAGTGTTTTGGGGGTGCTATGGGCTGTTTTGGGCTATTTTGCGGCTCTGACACTGTATCCCATATGAGAAGAAGGACAAGGTGGTTTTAAGGTGGCTTTAGGGTGGTTTTGGGTCTTTTGGGAGTGTTTTGGTGTGTTTTAGTTTGTTTTTGGGGTGTTTGTGGGTGTTTTGGGGCTCTGGAACTGAATGCCATAGGAGAAGCTGGACAAGGTGGTTTTGGGGTGTTTTAGGAGGTTTTTTTTGGGTTTTGTGTGTGCTTTGGGCTGTTTTGGGGCTGTTTTGGGGCTCAGACCCTGTATCCCATTGGAGAAGCCGGAGAAGGTGATTTTGGGGTGTTTTTGGAGTATTTTAGGGTGTTCTGTGGCTCTGAACCTGTATCCAATAGGAGATGTAGGACAAGGTTGTTTTGGAGTGGTTTAGGGTGTTATGGGGGCAGATTGGGTTTCTTTGTGGGTGTTTTGCAACAGTTTTCGGCTTTGATCCTGTCACACATAGAAGCAGGGCAAAGTGGTTTTGGGGTGGTTTTGGGGTGTTTTAGGGTTTTTTTTGGGTGTTTTGTGGCTAGTTTGGGACTCTGACCCTGCATCCCACAAGAGAACCAGGACAAAGTGGTTTTGGGGTGGTTTTGGGGTGTTTTATATTGTTTTGGGGGTGTTTTTGGGGTGTTTTGGGGCTCTGGAACTGAATCCCATGAGAGATGCAGGACAAGTTGGGTTTGGGGTGTTTTAGGTTGTTTTTTGGGTGTTTTGGGTGTGCTTTGGGCTGTTTTGGGGCTCTGACCCTCTATCCCATAGGAGAAGCATTAGAAGGTGTTTTTTGGGTGTTTTTTGGGTGTTTTGGGGCTGTGATCCTGAATCCCATAGGATAAGCAGGAGAAGGTGATTTTGGGGTGTTTTGGGGTGTTTCTGTGCTCTGACCATGTATCCCATAGGAGAAGCCGGACAAGGTGTTTTTTTGTAGTGTTTTAGGGTGTTTTGGGGATGTTTATGCAGTGTTTTTTTGGGCTCTGACCCCGTATCCCATAGGAGAAGCGGGAGAAGGTGGTTTTGAGGATTGTTTTGGGCTCTTTTGTTGCTGTTTTGGGGCTCTGAAGCTGTAACCCGTAGGAGAATGGGACAACGTGTTTTGCGGGTGTTTTAGGTTGGTTTTGGGTTGGTTTGGGGCTGGTTTGGGGCTGGTTTGCGGCTCTTACACTTTATTCTGTAGGAGAAGAAGGAGATGGTGTTTTTTTTCCTGTGTTTTAGTGTGTTTTGGGGTGCTTATTGGGTGGTTGTGGGCTCTGACCACAACAGATGGGTGAGTTTGGGGCTGTTTGGGGGCTATGAACCTGTATCCTGTATGAGAAGCAGGACAATGTGTTTGTGGGTGTTTTGGGATATTTTTCTGGTGTTTTGGGATGTTTATGGTCTCTGAACCTGTATCCCATAGAAGAAGCAGGACAAGGTGTTTCTGGAGTGGTTTGGGTTGTGGTTTGTGTGTCTTTTGTGGTGGTTTTGGGTGTTTTGGGGTTGGTTTTGGGGTGGTTTTGGGCTGTTTTGGGACTGTTTTTTTTGGACTGTTTTTGGGCTCTGACCCTTTATCCCATAGGAGAAGCAGAACAGGGTGGTTTTGGGGGTGGTTTTGGGCTCTGTATCCCGTAGAAGAAGCAGGACAAGGTGGTTTTGGGGTGTTTTTTTTTGTTTTTGATGTGTTTTTGGGGTGGTTTTTGGCTCTGACTGAATCCCATGCAAGAAGCAGTAGTAGGTGGTTTTGGTGTGTTTGATGGTATTCTGGGGCTGTTTTTCTGCTGTTTTTCTGCTCTGACCCTGTATCCCATAGGACAAGCAGGACAAGGTGGTTGTGAAGTGTTTTGGGGTGGTTTTGGGCTCTGAACCTTTATCCCATAGGAGAAGCGGGACAGGGCGGTTTTGGGGTGTTTTAGGGTGCACTTGGGCTGATTTTGGGTTAGTTTAAGGCTGGTTTTGGGCTCTGATCCTGTATCCCATAGGAGAAGCAAGACAAGGTGGTTTTGGGGTGGTTTTGTGTTGTTTTGTGGTGGTTTTGGTTTGTTTTGGTGTACTTTGGGGCTCTGACCCTGTATCTCATAGGAGAAGCAGGACAAGGTTGTTTTGGTTGGTTTTGGGTGTTTTGGGGCGTTTTTGTGGCTGTGACCCTGTATTCCATAGGAGAAGCAGGACAAGGTGGTTTTGGAGTTCTTTAGGATATTATTGGGATGTTTAAGGCTGATTTGGGCCTGTTTTTGCATTGGTTTGGGGCTGATTTGGGGCTCTGACACTGTAATCCATAAGAGAAGCAGGAGAAGGTGGTTTTGGGGTGTTTTAGGGTGTTTTGGGGGTGTTTTGGGGGTGTTTTGGGGCTCTGACCTTTTATGCCATAGGAGAAGCACTACAAAGTGGTTTTGGGCTCTTTTGGGGTCTTTTTTGGTGCTCTGACCCTGATCCCCTATGAGAAGCAGGAGAAGATGCTTTTGGCATGTTTGGTTTCTTTTTAGGGGGGGTGTTGGGATGTTTTTATGGTTTTAAACCTGTCTCCCATTGGAGAAGCAGGACAGGGTGGTTCTGGAGTGGTTTAGTGTGTGGTTTTGAGGTGATTTGGTTTGGGTTTTGGTTTTGAGATGTTCTGGGCTGTTTTGTGGCTGGTTTATGACTGTTTTGGGGCTCTGAACCTGTATCCCATGGGAGAAGCAGTACAAGGTGGTTGTGGGGTGATTTTGGGGCTGCTTTGGGGCTCTGATCCTTTATACCATAAGAGAAGCAGGGCAAGGTGGTTTTGGGGCTTTTCTGGGGGTGGTTTTGGGCTTTTTTGGCATCTGACCTGTATCCCGTAGAAGAAGCGGGAGAAGGTGGTTTTGGGGTTTTTGGGATGCTTTTGAGGTGTTTATAGGGTGTTTTGGGTCTCTGACCCTGTATCCCATAGGAGAAGCATGAGAAGGTGGTTGTGGGGTGGTTTTGGGGCTGCTTTGGGCCTCTGACCCTTTATACCATAAGAGAAGCAGGGCAAGGTGGTTTGGGGTGGTTTGGAGGTCTTTTGGGGCTCTTTTGTGGCTGTTTTTGTGCTCTGTCCCTGTGTCCCATAGGAGAAGCATTACAGGGTGTTTTTGTGGTGGTTTTGGGAGTTTTTGGTGTGATTCTGGGTTGTTCTGGGGCTCCTTCCCTGTATCCCAAAGGACCTTCCCTATAGGGTAGCCGGCATCCATATGGGGCTGAGAGCATCTCTATGGGGCCACGAGCCTCCCTGTGGGGCTGAGGACCAGCCCTTATGGGGCCACAAACCTTTATAGGGGACTGGGAATATCCAACTCTATGGGGCTGGGAGGTTCCCTGTGGGGTTCAGTCCCTCCCTATAGGGCTCAAGCCTTTCCTATGGGGCTGAGGCTTTCCTATGGGGTTGAGCCTTCCCTATGGGGTTCAGGCCCTACCTGTAGGGTTCAGTCTTCCCTACGGGGCTGAGGCTTTCCTATGTGACTGAGCCTTCCCCATAGGTCTGAAGCTTCCCTATGGGATTCAGGCTTTCTGTGTGTGGCTGAGCCTTCCCTATGGGGCTGAGCCTCCCATATAGGGCTGAGCCTTCCCTATATGGCTCAAGCTTTCCATATCGGGCTGAGGCCTTCCTATAGGGGTTAGGATTCCCTATAGGGTTCTCCACCCACCCGCATACATTCCCTTTACTCCCCCATATCGCCCGGGGGGGGGGGGACGGACGGGACGATACCATTCAAGGCAATAAGGGGCTGCAGGAGCCCCCCCGCAGCACCTCATTTAGGGACCAAATCCTTAATAATAATAATTAATAATATGCTAATTAATAATTAGGCTCTTCCAGAACTTTCTCCCCCTCTCCTTAAATTATTTCCTAGTGGAAACCAATGGGTTTAACCCCCCCTTGACCTCCCCCCTTTATAAATCACTATATTTGTATAAATGGCACCTTTCCAACTCTAAATCTTGCCTTTTTTTATCCATTTTTTCCATGGGGGGGCGTGCTGGGGGTGGGGGTGTGTCCTCACTGTGACCCCCCCATTGGGGCCCCCCAAAATCATTCCCCCACCAATTGTGTACATTATTTTTTATGTCCCCATGATCTTATTGAATTCCCCTGCCCCCCGTTTTGATGCTGATAGGAATAAAACTGCTCCCCACCTCCCTCTTCAACACAGTGGTTTGTTCCATAAGGGAGGGGTAGAAAAGGGGGGTCGCGACCATTTTGAGGGGCTCGGGGGGGGGCGGTCTATGGAATTTTGGGTGTTGGGGTCTGCCCCATTTTGGGGTGCTGGGATCCCATTTTGGGGGTGTGTCCCCCATTTTGGGTAGGGTTGGTGCCCTCCCTCCTTTTGTGCCCGATGAGACCACCCACAGGAGGGGCGTGGCCAAGCCGGATGGGGCCGGCTCTGATTGTCTGGGCCCGCTTGGGGGCGTGGCTTTGTCCAGTGGGCGGTACCAAGAGGCGGAGCAAGGAGGACTGCACCGGGGTACCCGGGTGCTCTCAATGGAAGCTGGGGGGGGGAGATTGCAGTGCTGATGAGTGACTTTTAGCGCTATAATGGACCAAATTCCCTTGGGAACACCGTTTCCTTCCACAGCGGCACCCCTTTTGCTGATCCATGGAAGCAAGGAAGCCCAGAAGGAATCACTGCAACTTCATTGCGGGATAACGGGGAGTCAGGTTTGGAGTGCGTGCTGCCTGGATGCTATCGGAGATGGAGGGGAGGGAATGGGACAGCGGAGGCGATGCCCTTTGGTCTCCGGAGCTCCTTGGTCCAGGTTTGTCTCCGCCATCCTTTCCCCTAAACGATAACTGCGCATCCACAGCAGGAGAGCACCCGCACGCAGTATCCCATGCTCTGCCGCTTCGGTCTGCTCCTGAGGATGAGCAGGGTCTGTGCTGTCAGGGAACGGAGGCCGGGATCATCCTCATCCAGAAGTGCTTCCAGGGCTGTGATCCAAAAAGACTGGGATGAGCCCCTCCGTAGCCCCCAGCATCCCCCCAGCCCCTGCTCCCTCCTCACCTCTGCAGATCTGCTCCAGCTTCCTTGGGCTTTTCCCTCTTAGGGGCCGTGCAGCCAATCCTGGGCACAGGGATTCATTGGGATCCGTCAGCATCCATCGGGATCCATCAGGGATGCGGCAGTGGGGACCGGGATGGGGAGCGCAGGGACTCACCAATGAACCTGACGGCTGCCTCTTGCAAGGGGACCTGAGCATCCTGCAGGTACCGCAGGCTCTGGTCCAGGTATCCCTGAGCCCTCTTCCTGCTCCGCTCCAGCTGCAGAAGGAATGGGATGCTACAGAACGCCCCCATTGGCTGGAGCAGTCCCAACGCTCCCTTTCCCATCCGCATGTGGAATGAGCAGAGCGGTGCAAGGGGTTCCAATGGGAATAGGGACGGATGCAGGACCCATACCAAGCACTCTGCAACCCTCCACGTCTGCCTCATCTCCAATAGGCACCGGAGCTCTTCCCATCCCAGGAGCGTCGCCGCAGCAAGGAGAGCTTCCCAGGAAGCCTGCACAGGATGGGATGGGAGATGGCACCTTGGGGATGATCCCACCCTCAGGAATGTGGAATACCCGGGCTGGGGGGAAGGGTGTTTGTACCTCGGCCACGCTGCAGCTTTGGTCGCTCATGTGGAAGAAGAGCGGGAGCAGCAGATCCCAGATTTTGCTCCTCATCCTCCTCCTGTCACCACCAAGCACCGACTGCAGCAGGACCCGGAACAGGCGGATGGAGAGCTCCCGGAGCCGGCTGCATCCCTGAAGGGAAGGAGGAAAAGGGGGCACTTGGGCAGATCCTGATGGGATGTGAAGCCCTGGAGCCATCCCCATGCGAGCTCCAAATCACCGCAGGGGTCCCACGCAGCCCTTACTCCATCAAAGAGGGGCCAGAGGTCCTGCACCAGCCCCACGGCAATGGGGCTGGCCTCCTCACTCGGGAGTTGACCCATCACATTCCATATGATCATCAGGGCCTTTATCCTGAGCTCGTCCTCAGCGTCCCAGAGCCAGCGCACAATGTGGGGCAGCAGTCGCTGCAGTTTCCTTGCCTGCAGGAAGAGGTGGGGGCTCCTTGTGGGGAAGCCTTGACCCAAGGCTATGGTCACCAAGGTCATGGCCAAGAGGGGTCCCTATGGCCATGCCCTGCCCCATGGCCAAGAGGGCTCTCTGCCATGGCCAAGAGGGTGCCCATGCCCCATGCCCACTGTGCCCTGCCCCATGCCCATGTCCTGCCCCATGGCCATGCCTCGCTCACCAAGCCAGGTTTCTTCGACAGCTCCAAGAGTCTTTCCAGCAGCACGGCCGCTGTCACCAGGTTCTGGGGGTCCTCAGCTCCCTCAGCACCACCAGCACCGGAGGCCATGGTCTAAGGCAAACACAGGCATTGAGACCCCACCGAGCCTGCAGGGCTCACGGGACTCATCAGGGCCCTTTGGGACTCACAACCAAGTTGCGGATGGAGGTTTCCCAGGTGTCCTGGAGCATCCCCAGCAGCTCTTGTAGGGGCTCTGAAGTCTTGGATATGGTCAGGAACATCTCCCAGATGTCCGCGTCAGCGCTGGAAGGCAGAGCACTGAGTCAGTGTGGTCTGTGCATCCCATGGGATGCCCTATGGGGGTTAGTGGTGGTGCTCCCCATGGGGTGGGATGCAGGGACCCGCTCCTCAGGGATGTCATAGCATCATGGAAAGGGCCTTAAGGTCATCCAATTAAAACTCCAGTGCCATGGGGTGGGATGCAGGGACCCGCTCTTCAGCATCATAGAAAGGGCCTTAAGATCTTCCATTGCTGTGGGTCCTTGGGTCTGGTGGCCATAGGGACCAAGCCCTCAAGGCTGGTACCTGTATCTCAAGGGCACATTGAGGACCATGCTGATGGCCAATGCCCTCGGGTGCTTGATGGCCATCAGGGTGAGGAGCATGTCCATCCTGTCCCACGTCGCTTTCCTGTTGCTAATCCGCAGGCAATCACGGATGCTCCTCACAACGATGGGCATCTGGAAACGGGAGCACGGGTGAGGATGGTGCTGGGACCGGATTCCCCACCCCTCTCTGCTGCATCTTGGTACCCAAGACCCCTCCTAGGTTTAGGATGGAGGAGGAAGGACCGAAGGGGATGGGCACACAGCCATGGGGCACCCACCTCTGCCAGCCAGAAGTCGAGGTCGCTCATGACCAGCTCCAGGATGTCCTCTGCCACCCTCCTGTCGAAGATGCTCGAGTCCTTCATGGCCTCGATGACCACGCAGACCATGTCCGTCCTCTCCCATGGATAAAGGGAGCCTGCAAACCTCTATGGGAGGAAGGTTGGGAGCATGGGAGCGGCGTTGCCCGTGCTTGGGGAAGCATCCCACCAAAGGGTCAAGCAATGGGGGAAGCTCCATTACCATGGTGAGGTCTCGGGGGCTGGTTTCTTCATCCCGTCTGAGCTCTTCCACTTCATGCTCTGGCTTTGGCCTTTCTGAAGAGCAAGGGGGACACAGGAGAGTCAATGGGATATAGGGGAGTCAATGGGACACAGGAGAGTCAATGGGGTACAGGAGAGCCAGTGGGATACGGGAGAGTCAATGGGATACAGGGGAGTCAATGGGACACAGGAGAGTGAATGGAGTACAGGAGAGCCAGTGGGAGATGAGAGAGTCAATGGGACACAGGGGAGTCAATGGGACAGAGGAGATTCAATGGGATACGGCAGGGTCAGTGGGACATAGGAGAGTCAATGGGACACAGGAGAGTCAATGGGATACACAAGAGTCAATGGGATACAGGAGAGTGAATGAGACACAGGAGAGTCAATGGGACACAGGAGAGTCAATGGGACACAGGGGAGTCAGTGGGACACAGGGGAGTCAATGGGATACGCAAGAGTCAATGGGACACAGGAGAGCCAATGGGATACAGGAGAGTCAATGGGAATGGGAGTCAATGGGAGAGTCAATGGGATACGCAAGAGTCAATGGGACACAGGAGAGCCAATGTGATACAGGAGAGTCAATGGGACACAGGGGAGTCAACGGGAGACAAGGAAGACAATGGGACACAGGAGAGTCAATGGGACACAGGGGAGTCAATGGGACACAGGGGAGTCAACGGGAGTCAATGGGACACAGGGGAGTCAATGGGACACAGGGGAGTCAGTGGGACACAGGGGAGTCAGTGGGACACAGGGGAGTCAATGGGATACAGGGGAGTCAATGGGAAACAGGGGAGTCAATGGGACACAGGGGAGTCAATGGGAGGGGTTGGGGGAGCCCATCACGGCCTCTGGTACCTTCCTCCTCCAGGAGGTACTGATGGAGGATGCAAAGAGCATCCAGGGCTGGGGAGCTTGTCCTGTCCTCAGCAAAGCAGAAGAGGAGGAGGTGGCCCAGGAGATGGCCCAGGAGTGGGACTGGGAGCTGCGCCGAGGGGAAGGAGCTGAAGTGTCTCCTCCAGGTCACGTGCAGCTTCTGGGGAGGCAGAAAGAGCAGGAACAAAAGGTGAAGAACCCAAAGAATGAGGAAGAAAGAAAGGAGAAAGAGGAGGAGAAGGAGGAGGAGAAGGAGGAGAAGAAGAACTGAAGGAGGAGAAAGAAGGGGAAGGAGGAGAAGGAGAAAGAGAAGGAGAAGGATGAGAAGGAGAAAGAAAGAGAAGGAGGAGAAGGAGAAGGAGATGGAGGAGGAGAAGGAGAAGGAGGAGAAGAAGGAGGAGAAGGAGAAGGACCAGAAAAAGAACTTGAAGGACAACAAAAGAAAGAAGAATGAAGAAAGAAGAGAAGGAGGAGGAGAAGGCAAAACGAGGAAAAAGACCAGAAGAACCTGAAGGAGAATGAAAGAAGAAAGAAGAAGAAAGGAAAAGGAGGAGAAGGAGAAGAAGAAAGGAGCAGGAGGAGGAGCAGGGGCACTGGCAGGAGCAGGAGCAGGGGCAGGAGCAGGAGCAGGAGCAGGAGCAGGGGCAGGAGCAGGGGCAGGAGCAGGAGCAGGAGCAGGGGCAGGAGCAGGGGCAGGGGCAGGAGCAGGGGCAGGAGCAGGAGCAGGGGCAGGGGCAGGGGCAGGGGCAGGGGCAGGAGCAGGAGCAGGAGCAGGAGCTGGCAGACTCAGGATGCTCTGCAGGTCCCCGTCTCCCCGTGCAGGGGTCTCTCTCGGCCGCCTCGGTCCTGCCGGGTCCTTACCCTGTGCTTGCGGTGGTGCCGCAGCAGCTGGGTCAGGGCCGCGATCCTGCCCACGGCCCTCTCCCTCACGGCGGGGCTTCGGGAGCCGCTGAAGCGCAGCAGGACCTGGGCAGGGGGAGAAGCCGCGGGTGAGCCCCGGAGCTGCGGCAGGGGCTGGACCTGCCCCGCTTCCATTGCAGCTCCCGCTGAGCATCACCGCGGGGCGGGCAGGGATGGAGGCAGCGGCACGGGAAGGGATGCAGGGGGTGAGGGCTTGGTCCCCCCGCTGTGGGTGATGCCCCGGCTGCAAGGACCAAGGCACGGCCCCGCTTCCAGGGCTGGGCTGGAGCTGGCGGTGAAAATCAGTGCCTCAGTGCTGCCCCTGCCCTGGGGCTGCAGGGGCTTTGGGTCCTTTCCAACCCAGCCCGCTCTGTGCTTCTCTGATTACAGTGTACATGTAAATACATGTGAATAGGAATAGAGCCATAGAGCTGAATAGATATAGGGTAAGTATAAATATCATAGAATTATAATTATGAACATAGATATAGATATATAAATATTCATATAAATATAAACATAAATATGAATATAGGAATATAAAAATATAGATATGCACATAAATATAAATACAAACATTAACACATATAAATAAATATAGGGTTAGATATAAATACAGATATAGATATTAATATGAGTAGAAACAAAAATACTAATATAAATATTAAACAATACAAATGTCTACTTATAAACATATATAGTAATATTAATATCAGTATTAATATAGTAATATCAGTATTAATATAGTAATATTAATATAGATATATCTAAATAATAATATCGCTATTCATCAATATTGCTATTATTAATTTTTCAATATTAATTGTAGATAGCTATATAGAAATAGAAATAGATATAAATAGATATAAATATATCCAAATATATAAGTAGATACAAATATATATACATATATACATTTATATACACATATATACACATATACGTATATACACGTATGTACAAATATACATATATCTACACATATATGTGCATAGAAATACATATATACATATATACACACATATATATACATACACCTATATATACATATATATACTTATAACAGACAAATTCCTCCTCTAAAGACCTCTTTAGGCAACAGTTCAGGGCAAGGGAACCAGTCCATGGGCCCCAGCAGCCTGGTCCCAGCCCGTGGTACCAGGAGGCAGCAAAGACCCCATCCCAAGGGCGCTCAGCCTCCTGATGTGGGGTCCCTGCCCTGAGCTCTGCGGGCAGCGACCGCCACTCCCTGCAGCCCCCGTGCTCCAGGAGGGCCTTGGGTTACCCAGGGGAGGGGGGGCCCATGGCTCTGGGGGGCCCCATGGGTGAGGAGCAGCCCCCGTGCACCCCGCTCTGCACAGGCCAGACCTGCAGGATGCTCTGCAGCTCCTCGCCGCCCCTGGGGTCAGGAGAGTTGAGCACCAGCCTCCAGAGCATGTTATCCATGGACCGCAGTGCCTGCAGGGACAGAGCAGAGCCCTTCAGGTACCTACGGGGCTTCAACTGTGGGCATCCCATAGCCCCAGCGCTCCAAAGGGAGCTGCAGGCTCCTGGAGCTCCTTACGTGGACGTAGTAGTAGGCATCCAGGCCCGAAAACCCCTCATTCAGAGGCAGGAAGAAGACGCTCCTGCAGCAGGTCTCTA